CGCTCAGATAAAATGGACGCTGTATCTGCGCCTTTTAAACTATCAATGTTTTCGCCGAGTTTCACAGACTACCTTGTCTTTCGATATTTTACTAACAAGTTTTCCTACGTCAATTTACGCTTCAAAACTACTTCAATGCAACACAAAGTTCGCTACTAACAACACATAATTTTCATAGTCGTTTGTCACTTCTCCAGAGGGTATTTTGACGCATTGAGAAATTTGTTGAGTAAAATGCGCAATACATAAGGCGGCCGATTGCCTATTATTTCTGCTGAACTGTTTTGCGGAGGATGGGCAAAATCGTCTTGAGCCACGTTATCCCATTCCATGTTCGAATCTGTTGGTTTGGATGGTTTTGCAAGCTCTGGTATATAAAGCTGAGGGTCCGGAGGTGGATTGGGAAATCGGATTGGCCAGTCTCGTAGCAATTCCGGCTGCTCACACATCGGTTGGCACTCGGCCTTGTTGATGCTAACTTCCATGTTGTCCCGTAACCACTGACGAAACGGCTCGAACTCGTCATCGCATATCCAGGGATTATCTGCAAGCAAATGATATCAACGAAAAGTTAGAAGCTGATGTTTCTTAACGGCTGGTACAAGGGAAGAGGCATAATGCGTTTGTATCAGACCTGGCTTCTTGATAAATTAGCTACATACATTTTTTAGTTAAGATGTTTGCAGCCGTGAGATACCTGTCTTTTGTGTACTTGCGTGGTTAGTCACATTTACATATCATATAATTTATGATGTGAAGCGGATCTCACCGGTTTGTGAAAATAATGTCTACCGCGCATAGCTCCATTCTTCCGCCCTACCCATTAGTATTCCTTTATCTAGATTAAAAGCATGAGAGATAAGTTGCTTCAAGAATACACCCGCGATATTTTGACTAAGTCCTACCTCTGTCAACGTGTTCATCGTCTTCGTCTACTTTTATAGATCCACTGCTGAATGAAGACCTTTTCAAGACTTTGCCAGAGACTTCTGTTTTCCGCTATTTCATCCATCCCTATCCGAAGAATTTTTTCAGCTGAACCTGCCATCAAATTAGAGGTCTTCATACGGGCCGTTTGCCCCTCTTGGAGCCTATTATAATGTCTCTCAGGTCTGGCAATGGTTGGTTTTTCTTGTAAGTATTTTGTCCATAGCCACTGTAACTTTATTACTCACACAATGACATCGCAAATTCTTTTCTTTTCTTTTATCCATTCATTCCTCTTCCTAAATTTTCTTGTTGTTCCCAACTTTCCATGCTGCGTTGCACAGTCTGCGATTTATGTGTAGTCTGCTCAATCTGTAGTGCAGATTTCGTGGCCATAGATTAGCACTTGTTGCGACACCGATCGAATACTTTCCGTTTCAAACACTAGGGCAGTTTCACGGATAACAATATTTTTCAATCTTTCGAAAGTGTCCCATGCCATGTTTATTATTCTTCTGTTGATCTCGATGATTGCTGGTCAATTCTCCGTCAGAAAAGTGAACAATTTCCCATTTAGACAGATTCGTTGACTTTAACAGATCGCCCCATCACGTATGTGTCGAACATGACCTGAGTCTTTTTCACTCTTCATTATGCTGAATGCTGCTTTGGTGCTGATTTTGTTAGTTCTTGGATTCTTCTACAGAGATCTTATTGTGACCGTGTGAAAAACGGCGTCTGCAATCCGCCAATTATTCTGACATTTATAGTCAAAAGGAAGTTATGTGAACATCGGTTTATATAGCATAGTGTAACATTTCGTTACTCTTAAAATATAACGGCTTAAGTAATTTGGACAGGCAAGGCTCTTTAGTATTTGAGTAGCTAGTTTATAAGCTAATTAATCACTACAAGAACTTAACTATATCTCAAGTTGATGTTTCTTTTATGTTTTCGTGACAGCAGCCATCAGCAAATAATTGTCCTTGTTTGATTATCGTCATTACGCATTTATGTATGATATAAATGAAAATGACTA